GATGGGGGTGAGGAGGGTGTCATTGATGGTGGTGAGGATGGTGTCATTGATGGTGGTGAGGAGGGTGTCATTGATGGTGGTGAGGAGGGTGGTGAGGAGGATGTCATTGATGGTGGTGAGGAGGATGTCATTGATGGGGGTGAGGAGGGTGGTGAGGAAGATGTCATTGATAAGGTGTTTCTTCATATGAAAAGACTTGAGAGCCCAGCTGTGGAGTCATGTGCCCATTATGTTAGCACTCAGGATGCTGAGGCAGGAGCATCGTGGCTATGAAACCATGCTAGTCTACATAGTGAGTTCCAGGCCTACCTGGAGATACAGCAAGACCCTGCCTCAAGAAACAGAGTAAGCAGAGCATGGTGCCATGGGCCTTTAATCCCAGCAGAGGCAGGAGAATCTCTGTGAGTTTGAGGCCAGCCTGGTCCATAACACAGCAGCAGCAGGAGGAGTGGGAGGAGGAGGAGCCAGATGCAGTGGCTCACACCTGTAATCCCAGCACTAGGGAGGCAGAGGCAGGTGGATCTCCGTGAGTTCAAGACCAGCCTGATCTACAAAGTGAATCCAGGACAGTTAAGGCTACACAGAGAAAAGAAAAAGAAAAAAGGAGAAGGAAGAGGAGGAGGAAGACACAGATGGAAGAGGAGGAGAAGCAGTCAAACCAAAGAGATGGCAGCCGTCAGTAATGAGGCGTTCCTCCTCAACCGCCCGCAGCTAGTCCAGGCCGCTGCTTACCCAGCGAACGAGTACTGCGTCCTGTCTGCTAATTGACATAGAATTGCTGTTGAATAAGCCATTTGGGTTAAATAGGAAGGCCAAGCAAGCACAGGAAGTAACATTGCTTTCAGACTGGAGGATGTATTCAGTCAAGTGATAATAAGTGAACTCCGGTTTTTCTTTTGTGAATTATACTTTTGTGGGAAGTCATTAGCTGCTTTCATTGCAAAAAGCAAGAGCATGAATCCAGAACTTCTCTCTCTTCCTCATAAAGAGCTTCCATGTGAAAGCTGTCTTTCAGGGTTAAGTCAATCGGTTGAAGGGGGAAGCACCATTGAAAGGCAAAGTGGGTAAATCCCACAGCTTTGAGGCAGGGTAAGTGGTCTGGGGTTTTGTTTTTATTTCTTTCAAAGTTTTTAAGCTAAACAGTTCTGTTTTATCTTCGTTTTTTCCTTTAAAACCAAAATGCTTATTTGGGCTGGAAAGATGACAAGTTAAAATACTGCTGGGCTGACAGGATGGCTCAAGGGTTAGGAGCACCACCGGCTGCTCTTCCGGAGGACCTGGGTTCAATTCCCAGAACCCACATAGTGGCTCACGACCATCTGTAGTGAGATCTGGTGCCCTCTTCTGGTGCGGGTGTACATGCAGGCAGAACGCTGTATACAAAAATAAATAAATCTTTAAAAAAGAAAAAAAAGGCATCCTGCCACTTTGTAGAAGACACAGGCTCGTTCTGAGTAACTGCAGTTCCAAGGAGCCCAGGAGCCTTCTTCTGGGCCGTGTGGGTGCCAGGCTGTGTGGTACACAGACATAGCGCAGGCGGAACACCCACACGCATACAGTAGGGAAACCCTGAAAAGCAAGCTCACTGACGTGCAGCTGACATCTGTCCCTGTGCCCCCGCCAAGCACGTGCTCCCTCTGAGGCGAGAACGGTTCCGATTCTAGCTCCGCTGTGCTAGGGCGTGTTCTAGGGCCGCTCTTTGAGGGCTCCAGTGAGAAAACAGTGGTCTCAGAGAGAGAAGTGAAACCTTGTCTATTCACAGCCCTGCTTCCCCCAGGACTCGGGCCACACTCAGAAGCCTGCTGACAGCGGGGCTCCTCACGCTCTGGTTCTCCATGACTTCCCAGCAGGTGAGGACAAACAACTAATGGAGCCCGGGGCCTTTCAAAGCCCTTCTCCTCACTGCCTGAGCCTGCGGGCATCTTACCCATCAACCCTACCTTCAGGAAGGGGCCATGCCCCAGTCATGACAGAGCGTAGCTGAAAGCCGGTCCTTTGAAAGGGATGGGAGGTTCCCTATCCAAATAAAGAAATAGCCATTGCTTACCAGTTACAAACCTTAACTTTGTGGTGAAGTTTCAGCTCAAAATAACATTCTTCGGAGGCTCAGACAGATCGTTTACTTGCTTAGCATTGTGATGAAGTTAATTCTAATTCAATAAGTAAAGTGGGTTTTTTTTAATTATAATGTGTCTCACCCACCCCTTACCTAGGACATCAAAGTATTATGTTTTTGTAATCATTTTAATGTTTTCTTTTAATTATTTACAACTTATTTATATACATTATTATATATTTGTGTACCCAGAAGATTAATTTTTATTTTAATGTAAATAAAGTTTCTTCCTGAAGAGCTGCAGGATTCCCTTAGTTAATGTTTGAAGTTGCAGCGGCTTTTAATGGCGTCTGGGAATAATGGTAAGGGTGTCACACCACAGGCCTTCCAGTGTTGAATGTGTCTTCAACGTTGGCACATTAGGACTCACTGGCCAGGACAGTGGTGGTTTTAAAAGCTGTTTCCCTTAGTAAATACATCTAATCTTGTCCTAGAAAAGAGAACCTCTAATATCAATTTTTTATATAAAATTGCATGAAAGACTTAATTTAATCAGTATAATCTAGTCTGTCAGCGTCCATGGAGAACACTGCACTGTGGCCAGAAGTAAGTGCTCTTCGTTCTCGGCTTTACCCACGTGGGCATCTGAGGACCGCTAATTCTGTATTGCAGAGCAAGATGATGATCTGAGCCTCACATCTGGAGAAACTGTTTATCTTCTGGAAAAAATAGATACAGAATGGTACAGAGGGAAATGCAGAGGGCAGTTCGGCCTGTTCCCTGCCAATCACGTCAGAGTCGTGGTAAGTGGGCTGGGTTTATTTCATTTGGCCATGTGTTCGGTGAGTCAGTGAGACTCAGAGATGGGAAGGGATAGCGAGGAGCCAGGAATCTTGAGTTCCCCTCTCTGTCTTCTCTTCATCGTGTGGCAGCTGGACTGTTCTTCCCTCACAGACTGGCTTTGTCAGTAGTCAGCTATGGAAGGGCTACGGGCTCACAGGACTCTACCTGCTGACCTGTCTGACAGAGTCTAGGGGAGCGGAGCAGTGTCTTCAGTTGTGTGCCCCTTGCTGGGCCCGCCATGCTCTGGAGAAGCAGTATCAGCTGACCGATCGTTTACCCTTGGAGCTCTCTTCAGCACTTAAGGGTGGTTGTTTGAGAAACCGAGGGAACCTGAGTTAAATGCTGTGAACAGCTGACAGGATGTTCTTTGGGGACATAGTTCTGTGTCACTTTGAGAATACCAGGACTCCTACTGGAGGTCGTGGTCCACTGATGGTTTTTCACGTAATATTTTCAAGTCTGATTGGCGAAAACTGTACTGAAGCATCACAGTTTTATAGCCCCCAATAGCTTAACTTGTGAACACACTCCAGAATGTCGAATGTTTATGCTCAGCCTGGGTAGCTGTGAAAGAGGGAAAAGCAAGATCGCTCCTTGAACTTCTTATTAATAAGAAAAATATGACTCTCTCCCCGATATAACCCACTGTTACTATGAAATATCAGTAACGCTAACTTAAAAGTTAACAGCTTACTTTTGAAGGGGAAAAAAACAGTAATTTTCCTTTACATCAGAAGTTTTGAAATCTAAGCATAACAGGAAATCTGCATTTTTCAAATAGAGAAGAGTTTGAGCGTGTTGGATTTGAAATGTAGGGTCTTAGAAACTGCCCATTGCAGATGTGGCCCGGTTCTCTGGAGAACTCCAACCACAAGCCCTAGATTAGTATTGAGAGTAATGTTAGTTTTAGCAGTCCTCTTCATTTTTCTTCTGCCCAGCCTAACGGTGCTTTAGAAAGCACAGTTACCACGCTGGACTCCATTGCAGCCAGGTGGCCACGTCATCCGTATAAGTGTCACTCCTAAGACCACAGTTTAAAGAATGTTTCAAGATACCAAACTTGCCGAATTTATCAGAAAGGGTGCTGATCTACGTGGACCTCAGGCGCTTAAGCAGTTTTCTTAAGTGCATGCTTATGGCCAGGAATCCTGTTCCATCCCGGATCTACTATTTCCCGCGTCAATGAGCACGGGTGCCATGCCTGGCACATGCCCACTCGGCAGACTGCTTCCTTCTTACCCTGTTGGTGTGAAGGGGAAGTTCTCTTCAGTGAATGGAAGAGCAGCAAACCTGAGCCAGTGCTCCGTGTGGAGACCGGGGACGGGTTGCAGAACCTGCCCTTTGTTTGAACAGGGGACAGCAGCACGTGTGACCTGCTGGCTGATGGAGTCATAAGTGCCTCGGATGAAGTGTAGAACTGTGGGGATATGATGACGTCACTGTTGTGCTCGTGGCGGCTCACAGGGCGGGAGGTGATTGCAGCATCAAGGAGGGCAGCGCCAAAAGCTCTTCTCCCTCGCCTCTGTAGCCCTGGCCAGCCTCCCCTTCGTGACCCTCCTGCCTCAGCCCCCGTGCTGACGTCACAGGAGAGTCTCTGTTTTTTTTTCCAGCACCCCATTTTGGTTTTCTTAGTTTTTAGCAGCTGCACCTCCAATACTTTCAACAGCTAGCCTCAGTGTTTCAATTTCAGTCACGAAACCTCTAACTACCTGATGTTAGATTTATCTTAACCAAATTATGAAAAAAAAGCAAAGTGTTAACATAATTTTATCTTTGCTAGGTTGATATTCCAGAAGGAAGAAGTGGAAAAAGAGAATCATTTTCATCTCACTGTGCTAAGTAAGTTTTCTCTGTGTCCTTTTGTACAAAATAAAAAGGAGTTAGCAATGAAGAATTTCTTTTTTCTCGTTTTTTTGAGACAGGGTTTCTCTGTGTAGCGTTGACTGTCCTGGACTCGATTTTGTAGATCAGGCTGGCCTTGAACTCAGAGCTATCCGCCTGCCTCAGCCTCCCTGAGTGCTGGGGCTAAAGGCGTGCGCCATCACACCGCTGCGGCAGTGAAGAATATCTAAGCTTGATCATTTCCATTGCATGATGACACAGCCTCTCAGAGTCTTTAACTCCAGACTTTATGTGCTTAGGTGTGACAGTGAGAGGCTGGAGGTGCGGCTCCGGGGTCAGGATGCCTCCCACTCCTGCAGAGGACGCAGGCTCAGTGCCAGGCACCTAGATTAGGTAACTTAAGACCACCCGCAGCTCCAGTTCCAGGGATCTGCTGGCCTCTGCTGGTGTGTGCGTGCACTTTTTTTTTTTTTAACTAAAAGCAAGGCTGAAGAAATGGTTCAGCAGTTCAGAGCGAGTCGCTGCCCTTGCAGAGGACCTGGGTTGGTTCACAGCGTCTGGGCTCCAGGGCACTCGATGCGTCTCACCTCTGCAAGCGCCAAGCGTGCATGTGGGGTGCGTATGCACTTCATGCAAAACATTTACACACGTAAATGAGCAAATCTTAAAAAAAAAAAATAAAAAGCTTTTAAAAAATAAACTGTCAGGCCGTGGTGGCACACGCCTTTGGTCCCAGCACTCAGGAGGCAGAGGCAGGTGCATCTCTGTGAATTTGAGGCCAGCCTGGTGTGCAGAGGGAGTTCCAGGACAGCCAGGACTACACAGAGAAACCGTCTGCAAAAACAAAAACCAGGCAGTTTGTCATCTCTGAAGACTAAAGCTACTAGCTTGTCGGATGCCTCGTGGAAGCAGAAGCCTCACTTCCAGGCGGCCCCTCCGGCCAGCCGGGTGCCTCAGAGGAGGGCTGCTCCCAGAAGGGCACCTGCAGCTCAGCCTCCAGCAGCGGCTCACCCCGGCAGCAGGCCTGGTGGCCCAGATGGCGACCAGTGCCGCTGCTGTGGCTGTGGCTCTGCAGTAGGGCTCACCCTGGGACACGCCGTCACTGGGGCTTCAGTGGAGGAGGCAGTGCTGAGCCACAAGGCCTGGCATCACCCACCAGGAGCCTCGGAACCCAGCTGCTGGACCGGCAGTCACGTGGGCCTTGCTCTCTTGAGATCAAGCAGTTTCTGGAGTGTCCCAGAACCAGAGCAATGTCAGGCTCCTCGAGGGCTTCAGCCATGCGCTGCGGCAGTGCAGAATTGCAAATGGCTTAATCTAATCAAGAAACTCAAACTGAAGAAATGTAAGTTGGCTCTGCATAATTGGTAGAGCAAGTGTGGACCCTTATTTCTACTGTTCCGTTGCTGCCGAATGGCCATGAAAGAGTTCTAACTGTAGTTGTTCACTGAGGCTTGAAGCGGTGGTGGCTGGGCACGTGTTCAGCCTCCTTGCACTAACTGTATTGTGTTTTGTGAGTTTAATTCTGAAAAAAAAAAAAAAAAAAAAAAAAAAAAACAGCGAAAAGAGAGAAGAAACATTTTCAAAGAAAGTGCAGCAGGCTGGTGGGCCCTGCGCCGCCTTCCCAGGCCGGGCTGCAGCGAAGCCTCGTGGCTCCACCTGCCTCGCCTGGCCTCGGCCCACAGAAAGCTCTGTCCCAGCGCGCTGTCGAGTGGCTTCCTGGTTTTTTAGAAATGTCAGCTGTCTCCCTCACGGAAAATATGTCTGTCTTATAGACATGTGAACCCTGCAAGAACAGCCAGTGAGGCAGGCCCTGGCTTCCAGCCACGCAAACAGGAAAGCGCCTCTTAGCAGACTCTGCGTATTGCTTTGTTTCCGGGGAGGCAGCGGTGGGGGAGGAGCTAAGCTACGGGACCTCCCTGTGTCCTGAGACCTTTCCAGGGATTTATGTGCCTTCTATGCCTCGCTGTAACTCTTGTGTGATTTAAAGCTCTGCCACAGTGCAGCTTTATACTCCAGTCAAGAGCAAATTAGTGCAATTCACTACCTGGTGAAGACTGTAAACCTGTCTGGGAATAGGTCAGACATGAGGAGACGTTCCCAGGGGACAGGAGAAGATAAATGCAAAGGTTATCGCAAACAGGAAACTTTCAGTGCTGAGGCGTCGGATTGCGCTTCAGGTTTCAATCCTGCTCTGAGCCCAGATGCCATGAGGGCAGCTGAGTTTCAGTGGGCTTGGGCGGCCGTGGATCCGCTGACCCCACTTGAATCAGAATCTGATTGCAGCAAGGGCCAGCCTGTCCTTCATGGGCAGCTGTTTTCTCTCTAGATCTCTGCTGTTGAAACTTCCTTCCTGGGGTCTCAACTCAAAGATTTGGTATTACATCAGACCTTCTACAGACCAAGTTTTATCTCGGCTTGTATCTTATTTTCAGTCAAAATTGCAGGTCACGGAAGGGTTGAAGCTCAAGATCTCAGGAATGTACCTCCTTCTCCTTCTCCTTCTCCTTCTCCTTCTCCTTCTCCTTCTCCTTCCTCCTCCTCTGCCTCCTCCTGTTCTTGCTCCTCTTATACTTTTTAATTTGATTTTTTGAGACAGGATTTCTCTCTGTAGACCAGGCTGGCCTCCAACTCAGAGATGCACCTGCCTCTGCCTCCTGAGTGCTGGGATTAAAGGCGTGCTCCACCACAGCCTGGCTGAATACAGCTTCTAAAGGTGAGACGCAAACCTTACTGAGCAGCAGAGCTGATGCCAGTGTCTGTTTCCTTTGACCTTGTAACTGTCGGCCTCACTTGCACCCTCACTGGCAGACTCGGCACATAGCGAGCGTCCTCCGTCAGGCAGGCGCCCCTCACCTACTGTCCTCCTTCTGAAGCAGACATACGATGCTGTGCCCTGAGAGTGTCAGGGGAAGCACCCCAGGCCCAGCGTGTCTGCTTGAAAGGGGGTAGACAGGGCCATCGATTGCTTTGGCACAAAGACATAACCCCAGGGAGCCTGGGGAGATTCTGTGGTTACAGGACGGCAGAGCTGAAGGCGGGTGTGCAGTGTGCACCAGCCAGGCGGCTGCTGGTCAGGGCGCGGCCTGAAGTCTCTGGCCTCGAGCTCGGACCTTCTGTGTGAAAAGCTTACTGTTTCTCGTGGAAGGTTTTTCATGACTATGCCTCGTGCCCTAGGAAGCAGGACCCTTCCTGAAGGCCGAAGGGCCGTTGGGAAGCTTTCGTAACGTCACCACTAGAGAGCGCCTTATTTTGTTCTCAGAAGTGGTGCTGGGCACAGGAGTGCCCACTGGGAGGCAGAGGCGGGCGGATCTCTGTGGCTTCCAGGCCAGGACAAAGGGAGTCCAGGACAGCCAAGGCGACACAAAGAAACCCTATCGAAAACCTAAAAAAGAAAGTTTTAAAAAGTGTTGCGCAGCGGTAGAGTTGAAAGTGCAGCCATCTGCGGTCCGTCTCGTGTCCGTGTTCTTGTTTAACCGTAACCGTGTTCTTTGTTCAGGGGCCCACGGTGTGTTGCTCGGTTTGAATTCATTGGCGACCAGAAGGATGAGCTGAGCTTCTCGGAGGGAGAAGTCATTATTCTGAAAGAGTATGTGAATGAGGAATGGGCGAGAGGAGAGATTCGAGACCGAACGGGGATCTTCCCCCTAAACTTTGTGGAACTTGCTGAGGACCCCCCCACGCCTGGTGCGGACGTTCTGAGTGAGTGTGGGGTGTGGGTGCTTTCTGTGTCGTTGCCTGACTCAAACGAGCCGGTTGGAGAGCGCTTCTGTGTCGCCACACTCCTAAGCTTACGTGGAAGGGTGATTTGTTTGTGAGGCTGGTTTTATTCATTCCCGGGGGGGCTAACACTTAAAGAGGCTGGTCTGGAACACCGGCCCAGCTCGCCCCCCGACCTAACAACTTTCCCCTATCGCTATATGGCCTTCTCATCTAACTTTTTTTTTTTTTAATGCAGGCACAAAGGTACCACCAAAGACCAAAAACGAAGAGCCCAGCTCCAGTTCTGAGGTGGGCCTCCTGAGTGGGCAACTGTTGGGGCGGCCTCACTTAACCCTGGGGGAGCTGAGAGCTATGGAGGAAACAGCACAGGGCCACTCTGTTGCATAGAAATGGTTAGAAGATTAGATGGCAGCTGTAATACTGCACGTAAGATTCCTAGGACATGCAGGCCCTGCGTCCCCATTCTCCTCTGCTATCACAAGTATTCCGTCCATTACTGTCGTCGGAGGAATGCTAAGTTGGGGGCTTGTGTTGCCCAGGTGGCCTTGAACTCCTTATTATCCCGCCTCTGTCTCCCAAGTGCTGGTATTAGAAGTATGTGCTCCAAGTCTGTTGTTTGCCTGGCCTCAAATGCCTGGCTGGCCCCACCTCAGCCTCCTCCGTGCTGAGATGCAGGTGTGGGCCACAACCCAGCGGTAAGGGGCTCTTGTGTTTCTGTGTTAGTGTTTCAGTCACTGGGAAGGGAAGGCACTCCAGGCCCTGGGGACTGTCCTTTCTGTGTCCTGCCATGTCTCCCTCACAGCAACCCTGAAATGACTCTCACAGTGGCGTGGTGTCACATGTAGCCAGGACACGGCAGCACCAGGCTGGAATGCCTTCCTGGCTGCCGAGTGTTTGCCTGCCAGAGGCTCTGACCTCTTCACAGGCCAGAACAGTCTTCTAATGCACTGGAGGGAGTAAAGACACGGTTTTGCTGTGTAGACAGGCAGGCTGCAGACTATGGAGATGGGCCCGCCTCTGCCGAAGGGCCTGGATTAAAGTCGCGTGTCAGTGCCGGGTGGATAGGTGCTCTCTTCTTAAAACCTTGTTGTTGTTAATTTTTTTAATGTGTGGATGGTTGGTTTTGTTGCACGTATACTGTGTATCATGAACATGCAGTGCCCTGGGAGGCCAGGAGGGGGCATCAGATCCCCTGGAACTGGAGCTAAGGCCTGTGGGCCACCATGTGGGTGCTGGGACTCAAGCCCAGGTCCTCTGGAAGAGCAGCCAGTGCTCTTAACCACTGAGCCACCTCCCCAGCCCCATGCTTCCTGAGTGTGTGTCTTCTGCCTGTCTTTGTGTCTCTGTGTGTGCACCGTATGTGTGCAGGAACCTGTAGAGATAAGAAGTGAATGCCTTACCCTCTGGAACTTGAGTCAGTTTTAAGTTGCCATGTGAGTGCTGGAAACCAAACCTAAGTCCTCTGTAAAGCTCTGTTAACTGTGGGGCCATCGCTGCAGCCCCACAGAACATGTTCTCAATGGAAAAATTAGAAGTAGCCTATCAGATTAGACTACATCACAAAAAAAGCTGGGCTGCGATAGCACAGGCCTGGAATCCCAGGACTTGGGTGGCAGAGGCAGGCAGACCTCTGTGAGTTCAAGGCCAGCCTGGTCTATAAAGTGGGTCCAGGACAGCCAAGGCTACACAGAGAAACTCTGTCTGGAAACTTAGATCACAAGAAAAAATTCTGATTAAACATTATATGTATCTTAAAAGTAGCAAAACCCGGCTGGAGAGATGGCTCAGTGGTTAAGAGCACTGTCTGCCCTACCAGAGGTTCTGAGTTCAATTCCCGGCAACCACATGGTGGCTCACAACCATCTATGCTGGGATCTGATGGCCCCCTTCTGGCGCGCAGGTGTACATGCAGTCAGAACATTCAGATACATTAAGTAAATAAATAAATTTAAAAAGTAGCAAAACCATAAACTCTGTTACACTTGTAAATTAAAATTATACTTTTAAAAAAAAGTTATTGGAAACTTATTTCTGAAACCTAACAGTGACATTAAAATATTCGGTAATATGAAGAAACCAGTTTTGACCTCTTACAACCCCTTTGCTGTTTTTTGATGTTTATTTCTGTGTATATGTTTACACATACGTGTGAATGGCCTCAGAGGCCAGAGGAGGGTGTTAGATCCCGTGAGTTGGGTTACAGGTGGCTGTGAGCCTCCTGACATGGGCGCTTGGGAAGTGAAATCTGGTCTTCAGGAGCAGCAGCTCTCGGTCTGAACCACTGGGCCGCCGTCCCCCTCGGCCCCTTAGCCCCTATTCCTCATCACCTTTGAAGCTGTTTGGGATAAGCCCTCCTTACCAGACTCCTTTGTGAAGCAGGACAGCAGCCCTTGTGGGGAGTGGTGCAAAGCTCTTCACAGCTTCTCGGCGGAGACCAGTGAGGACCTGCCCCTCAGCCGCGGAGACCGCATCCTGATCCTCGAGCGCCTGGACTCTGACTGGTACCGGGGCCGGCTGCACGGCAGGGAGGGCATCTTCCCGGCAGCCTTCGTGCAGCCCTGCCCAGGTACGACCCCGCCAGCCGGCCGAGGCTTTCCGTGTCCATAGCCCTCTAGCTCCCACACGCTTGACCTTGCTTTCCTGGCTACTCAGGACGAGATGACTGCTGAAGTCCCCCCTAACTACCATAGTTAGACAAGGGGAAAAGATAAAGGTGACCTGAAGTCGGCTAACAAACAGACTTTGTACACTTTTTCCTGCTGAGTGAACATCCTTTATCCTTTTGCAAGTTAACTCAGAACTACTTAAAAATTTAGAGCGACAAGGTTCTTGGTTTGTGGCTTGTGGTCCTGCATGGTTGACATTCTGCATCTTTGCAGCTGAGGCGAAAAGTATGGCTGCTGCCGCGCTGAAGGGGAGGAAGGCCAGAGCCCTGTATGACTTCCTGGGGGAAAACGAAGATGAACTCTCTTTCAAGGTCAGAATGGGAATCTTTTTCTGTCTTTTTACGCCTCACTAGCCCTACATACTTCGCAGTGTATGTATGAATGGAATATTGGTCCTCACCCGATCCTGAAGAGCTCTCTCAGACCCTGACTGTAAGGGGAGAGTGGACAGACCTGCCAGAGCCGGGCAGGGCAACAGCCTATAACTCCAGCTCTCGGGAGCGGAGGCAGGAGGATCGTGTATTTGAGGCCAGCTTGAGCCTCTAGTGAGCCCTTGTCAGAAAAGAAAAAAGAAAACAAACAGCAGGGAAGAAGTGAGCCCTGCCTGTTTATATCACCGACGGTCATTTAGGACTGAGGAAAGGCCTTGCCTTAGCAATCCCGCTCTTCAGACAATCCCTGTGTCTTGGCTTTAATATCACTTTGTTGTTGTTTTGTTTTGTTTTGTTTTGTTTTGTTTTGTTTTGTTTTTCAAGACAGCTGTCCTGGAACTCACTCTGTAGACCAGCTGGGCTTGAATTCACAGAGATCTACCTGTCTCTGCCTGCCTCTGCCTTTCTCTGCCTCTCTGCCTCCCGAGTGCTGGATTAAAGGTGTATGGCACCAAACCCAGCTTAAAACTCATTCCTCTTTTGAATGGTGTTAATAAGTAAGAGACAAGCCTCTCAAATGAAGTTGGTAATTCTAATCTTTTTCCAGTGCCTTGATCCACAAACTCCGAAAGTTCGGAATCTGTTGCCTTGTTCCTCCCCAGTCTTGCAAGCCAACAGTTCAGGATCTATTCCTTATCTTCAGATAAAATGTTGCGGGTGAAGACTTCGGGTTCAAACCTTAGGGTGTCGTTTGGCTTTCGTGTGTGTGGGTTCCCTCGGTTCACAGTGTACCGCAGGGACAGGTTGTCTCCCCACAAGTGCCTGGACCGTAAGTCAAGTAGTTGTGGAGTTTTGTTAAGGGAACCTCTACTGCTTTCGGTGGTATTGGTCGTTAATATTTTATTAAATATGATTTAAATACAGGTGTGCGTGTTGGTAGGTAGGTATCTTACAGGTCCTAGCAGTCAGGAAATGACAGTGGTTAGGAAGATAGCTTGAGCTATTCATTCTATCATACTTTAAGGCAAATTTATTTGTAACAAATTGTGAATTACAAAATTTTACAGAGTTAAGCGAAGTAGAATACACAAATGACATCTGATAGCTAGCGTGTTTTCCTCCCGGTCTTCATAAGGGAAAGAAGTTAATCACGTAATTTTGAAGAGAGCTGTGTAGTAGTACTACAGAGAAATGTATCCTGGTAAAGATACTCTTTTGAAAGTAGCCAGGGTCCTCTTAAACCTCTGCAGAACCTTCAATCCAGGCTCTAAGAAGTTATCTGACACCATGAAGAACACAGTCCGATGTGTTCGTCTGGTAAAGGGGTCATAGTTGGGACATGTGACGTTCTGCCACCGTGGCTAATTTAGATGAAATAAACCTGTAGTCTGTATCGGGGCAAAGCCCTTCACATGGGACGGGCTATGAAATCCATGTTGAGGCCAGAGAGGGATAGAATAAGCCAACACTAGCCAAGAACCAGAGAGTGTGCTCAGGCCATTACAAGGCAGTTTGGGAGTAACTGTCTGCTGTCAAGTGTGGTGGCCTCGGCGCCTCTCTGTTCAGAACGTGGGCCCTAGACCACAAACACACCGAGGTGTGAACTCTGGCCCTACACTAATTATATGCACACTCCTGGCAAGCTACGTTCAGTTTTGTTTTCTTTGTTGTTTTCGAGAGACAGGGTCTCTATGTCGCTGAACTGGCACTTACTCGGTGGACCAGGCTGGCCTGGAACTCAGAGCGCCACCTGCCTCTGACTCCCAGAGGCTGGGATTACAGGTGTGCGCCATCACCCCTTGCACGATCTTATGTCAACTTGATAAAAACTAGAGTAATCATGAAGGAGGGAGCATCACTTGAGAAAACACCTCCAAAAGACCCAGCTGTTGGGCGGGGAGGGCCAGCTCGTGTGGGTGGTGCTCGCCCTGGGCTGGTGGGCCTGCGTTCAGTGAGACACAGGCTGAGCAAGCCATTAAGCCACACCCCTCCACGGCTCAGCACCAGCTCTGCTCTGAGCTCCTGCCCTGGCTCCTTCAGGGACGGACCACGGTGGGGAAAGAATGCTTTCCTCCCCAACTCGCTTCTTGGACATGCAGTTTTGTTGCAACAATAGAAACTTAACTAAGACATATGCAATTCTTTGTCTGTAAAACGAGGAAATCTAGAACTGGGGCCATGGCCCAGTGGGTAAAGCACCTGCTCTACATCTGAGGACCGGGATGTGGATGCCCAGACCCCGTGAATGCCAGGAGGGCATCACAAACCAGTGGAGACAAAAGCCAGCTGTGCTAGCCAGCTGTGCTAGCCAGCTAGCGGGCTCCGGGTTCAAGTTAGAGCCCGTTCCTCAGCGCATGAGGTGGAGCATGATACAGGAAGACACTTGGCATCAACCTCCGGCTTCCGTGTGCACACACACGAGTACCTGCTTCTGCACACACGAGCCCACCCACAGAACACACACGCATGTAGAGAGCACAAAAAACCATGAAAAGGCCTTTCCACAAAATGTTGCTCACCTCTAAAAATGTGGTTAAGTTTTTTTGTTTTTTGTAAGGAATAGACCAGGACAGGGCACACGGGAAGCAGACAGCTCAGTGCTTCAGTCTTCACGGAAACACGACAGCCAGCTGCCCCTCTTAGGCCGTGGCGTGAGCAGCGTAGCCGCACCGTCCCTCCTCTGCGTTTGTCTGTCTTCCTGCTCTCCAGTTGTGTACTGCGCTACACCTGCGCTGTGCCCCCAGTGACCGCCACACAGTAGGCTCTCTGCAAACACGTGTCAGATGGATGGTTTGTGTGTCTGTAGCTGACACTGTTACTGATCAAAGAGTGGTTCGGGTTAGGAATTGTGAGCGTGGGAGCATAAAACTCGCAGGAAAGTCAGCAAGGCGGAGAGTGGCAGGGTGGGGTTCGTCCCCTGCAAGGCTTATCATTCACCCTCTCTGCCAATCACGATGAGTTAGTGCAGAGCCGATTGTGCACGCCGCTCCAGGTGGGCTCGGCGACGCTGCCCCTCGGAACGCAGTAATTATTTCCACCTCCTGTCTTCTTCCAGGCCGGAGATGTAATCACAGAGCTGGAGCCCGTGGATGAGGCCTGGGTGAGCGGAGAGCTCATGGGACGGTTCGGCATCTTTCCCAGGAGCTACGTCCAGTTTCTGCAAGCCAGCTGAAGTCCCGCCTGGCTGTCCCTTGGCGGGAGAACTCACTTGAACATTCACTTTGACTATCAGATATTTTGCACTATTTTTTTAACAGAAAGAGAAGCATCTAAGACATATGTGGCACCCTAGGATTTGTGAGAGCAGAAAGCTTGTAGCTTGGGCGCTCGGTTCGTAGAAAGGCCTACGTTCTCCACGTGCTCGGGAAGCGGTAGGGGGAGGGCGGGCAGATGCACACTTCCCGGGGGAAGCTCCTGGTGCCGGCCTGGGAGGCTCACGCCTGGGCCCACACACCTGTCCCCCAGCACACGGAACTGACCGTGCTCTTCATTGCCACTTTAGTGTAAAAGGAGGGCGTCTGACAGTCTAGTTGCCTGTCAGGACACGGGTGGTAATCATTCGTTTTTGATATTCAAATGAATTCTAACAGCTTGAGCACACGGGGCCAGTTCCTGCTCAGGACAGACAGTTTGGTGGAACATTTACACGCAGGTGGGAGATAAGTTCAGGTTCCCCCAGATGTTCCGGTGTTTCCCAGCATTCCCCATTTGTCCAGGGACTTGAAGGGGTCAAAAGAACCAAAACCACCCCTGAGACTCTAATACAACTAACTCTTCGTAGACCTGCCCTCGGCTCTCCCGCAGCAAATGCCGTATGTTAACAGGGTTATTATAAAGCACACTTTCTGAATCTGCAATCATTCCTCTGACAATTACTGGAAGCCAAAGGAAAACTCATTTTCTTTGCATTACCCCAGTAATACATAAAAGCTGTGTCTTGTTATAGTAGTGCGTTATGAATCATGGATAGTATCTTAGAGTTACAGAGCAAATGATAAGATGAAAACCAGTACCAAGCCCCTGTCGCTCATTTCTTCTCACTGTAATCAGAAGGAAAAGTACTTTAAGAGGACTGAAGGCCTGGCGCAGTTCCCTCCCCCACACCTGGCACGCCCCGCCCCCACCCCACCCCACCCCCTCATCTCTTCACAACTAGCCCAGTAAATACAAAACCACTTTCCTGCGTCCACGGTCACACGTTCTGAGTTTAAAAAGTGGTTCTTGCGTGACTGAGTCGACTACGGTTTACAAACTAAAGCCAATGGATTGAAGACAATCTTCCTAACAGATCGGTGAGTTAACATTTCACGGGAATGTGAGACCGGCGGCTCGTGGCTTCTCCTGTTAGCTCCAAGTGCTGGACCCCTTCTCGGTTTCTGTTCTCCCCACCCCCACCCCGTTATCCAAGAGCTGGCGGCCAGCGGCTCCCTGGGCATGCGGCTTCTGTAAGGAAGTAGCATTTACTTTGTCTTTGACTCAGTTTTCCACCCCCGGCATGTGACTGCATTTGACTTTGGAATTTAGGACCTGGGGTTTGTCCTACATGTTTTTGGGGTTAAGAATGTATCAGGAAAGTTCTTGTAAAATTTCACTCAAATTGATTTTATGAGAATGGGACTGCTTAAAGTGTTACTCATTTTCAGCAAGCAGGGCCAGGGGTGTGGAGCGGGGCATGGATTGTGTCTGCCTGTGGGGTCTCAGCATTTGTTGAAGAAGAAAATCCTCTTAAATGCCGCCTTCTGTCCGCAGTGGCTGTGTATCTACTTGACACTATAATAAACCTGAGCTGAACTTTTCAGTCCCTGAGCCAGGCTCTACTGCGTTCTTTAAATACAGAGGTGTCTTTCTTCTCCTTGTGTCTCCAGTGTTTGCACGGTGGGTGAGGCGGCTGTTTGCTGGGTGGGTTTGGGGGACAGACAGACGGACGACTTCCGCAGTCTTGAGTCTGCTCAATGCGCTTGCTCCTTGTTGACATTTGGTCTTCTTCTGCTGTGCTCTGTTTGGCTTGCTGTTTGTCTCTCTCTCTCGACGAACAGGAAGCAAAGTGTGGCTGCGGGTTCCCACAGGTTCACTCTTATTATATGTATTGACCGAAGTTGAGGCAGCACTCAGCAGTGTTCAAAGAAAAGTAATTGTAAGCAGAGGAAATTTTATAAGAGATAAATGGAAATGGGCTGTTGTTTGCTTCTGAATGTTAGGTGAAAGCTTGCTACCCTTCATCTCTGTCAGCCAGCTTTTCGTAGCTGTGCTGAAACCCTGGTTATAAACAACTTAGAGGAGAAAGTGTTTGTTTGGGCTACAGAGTTTTCAAGGCCATCTGTTGTGCAAAATGGAGAGCAAAACCTTTCAGGATCAATCAGTCTTTGAGGCACCTTCACACCCAAACCACACATCATACAAACCTCCACAATACTCAGGTTTCTTTCTTCTAGGTGAAAAATGGAGAAGCCATGTTCAGAACATTCTCCTTTTTTCTGGGTTTGCAGTGTGGGGACTGAACCCAGGTCCTGGCGCATTCAAGGCAAGCACTGTACTCCTGAGCTACCTTCCCGCAGCCCAGAGTATTATCCCGTGAACACTGAAAGATAATGTGTTTCCTTAGCTGCCCTTGGGCTAGTTGCTGAAGGAGGAATGTAGCTTCTTTTGTTGCTCTTGGAAACATTTGGAAGAGAGAATATTAGTGTATTCACCAAAACGCATCACTAGAACTAGCATTTAAAAAGATCCTTACAGGATGCTGAGTCAGTGTCCCTAAAAATCAGTTTGTATTTAGTTTCCTAACCTTAGGTGCAGACTCCTGAGAAGACCGCGGTGGAGGGATGGGCCAGCCGCCAAGATCGTTCTCACTTCGCTGTGAACATTAATGTTATCTTTTAACCAATGTCAGATGCACATAGACCATAAGGTTCATGACTCGGTGTCATTCTGAACGTCATGGAGTGAGTTCGTAGACCGATTCGTTTTTCAGCTCTTCAGAAATTTCCTCTCAGAACTAATGGGAAATCGTTCTCCACCTTACTCCACTCCTTCACTGGGTGGAGCAAAATCCGTGGCCTCGCTCAGAACACGGCCTCCATCTAGGGGCCTCTCCTCTCATTACAGGTGGGGGACCGAAGGCCCCCAGGGTTTCAGGGCGTGTCTGCTGCCACAGGCAGAGCCCTGACAAGCTGGTGCTGCTAGTGGCCAACCCAGCGTCTTCCCGTTGATGATGCTGAAATGATGTTTCTCTTTAGCTGTTAAAACTGTCTGTATGGCTGGAGGGATGGCTTAGCAGTTAAGAGCACACCCTGCTCTTCCAGAGGACCCGGGTTCAGTTCCCAGCGCCTGCGACAGGTGGCTCACCACTGCCTCTGACTCCAGCTGCCGAGGACCTGCATCCAGATGATTCTCACTCCCACGGACACAAAGACGTGGGTAAAAATAAAAGAAATGTTTAAAGTGTTTTGGTATCTCTGAGCCTATAAACGTTACTATAGCACATGCAACCCACGGGTGTTCTTATGAGCCCAGACCGGGAGACTGATGCGGGGAGGGGTGGGAGGAATTGATTATATAGAACAAACTAAAGCTAGGAGAATTCCGCTAAATAGTTATTTGTGTGTGTGAATGTTTTGCTCATAAAGTGTTAATCCCTGGAACTGGAATTACAGATGGTTGTGAGCCACCGCATGGGAGCTAGGGATTGAACTGAGGTCCTCTGCAGGAACAGCCCCTGCTCTTAACCACATCTCTCCAGCCTCTGAAGTGGTCTTTCAAGTAGAGAACCCTAGCCAGGCTGGTGGTGCGTGCTGTAATCCCAGCATTTGGAAGGTAGAGGCAAGCAGGTCAGGAGTTAAAGGTTACTTGGCGACTTAGAAAATGCAAAGCTAGCCTGGGCTCCAGGAGACCGTCTAGGATGGCGTTCTCAACCTTCCCAGTGCTGCGGCCCCTAACTAACAGTTCCTTGTGTTGTGGGGACTCCCAACATTATCTCGTTGCTACGTCATAACTGTGATTGTGTTGCTGATGTGAACAGTGCTTTGTGACCTGGGAGCCGCCGGTCTGGACAGTTTCGGGGATGTCCTGTCCGCCTCAGTGTTAGAAACTGTCCACGATAAACAGCTCCTTCCCCTACAACTGAAACCAAGTCTGTAGTGTGTGTGAGGCTGGGAAACAAGCCCTCTCCAACCTACACGTCAGATAAAGGAAAAACGAGGAACCTGGGAACCTTCTGGATGATCTTAAATAATTGAATTTCTTATAAGCAGCAGTCTTTTTGGTGTTTGTAACAGGTTCTCCCTATGTGTGCCGGGCTGAGCTAACTCATGCTCATCCTGCTGAGCCTCTCAAGTGCTGAATTAGCCCCAGGCCTGGCTGAGCAGCGATCTAAATTATCAGTTTTCTTAATAAAAGGCAGGTGTGGTGACCCACGCCTCTAATCCCAGCATTTGGGAGGCAGAGGCTGGTGGATCTCTGTGAATTAAAGGCCAGCCTGGTGTACAAAGCAAGTCTAGGACAGCCAAGGCTACACAGAGAAGCCCTGTCTCTAAAAACCAAAAAGGGGATTGGGGAGTAAAGGAGAGAAAGGAAGGAAGGAAAGGAGGAGAGAGAGAGAGAGAGAGAGAGAGAGAGAGAGAGAGAGAAAAGCTGGGAGGTTGTGGCTCATGCCTTTAGTTCCAGTACTGAGGAGGCGGAGGCAGACAGGTCTCTTGGTTCAAGGCCAGCCTGGTCTACAGAGTGAATTCCAGGATGGCCAGGGCTACTTTAAAGAAACCATGTCTTGAAAAACGAAACAAATAAGATACACCTGTTCTCGTCTACCTGTGGGGGCTGGGGGGGGGGGGTCACTTCAGCCCAAGTAAGCCTAAACTCAAACTCGAACGTGAAGCCAACTTGAGCGGTATAATGAAACCTCAATAATTCGGAGTCCAGCACAGCAGCATACCCCATGATCCTAGCACTTGGTAGATGGAGGCCAGAGGACTAGGAGTGCAGGGTCATCCCTCCATACACAGTAAAATCAAAACAAAGCAAGGGCTGCAGAGATGCCTCAGAGGTTAAGAGCACTGGCTGTTCTTCCAAAGGGCCTGAGTCCAATTCCCAACAACCACACGGTGGCTCACAACTGCCTATAATGAGATCTGGCGCCCTCTCCTGGCATGTAGGAATACAGGCATAAAACTAAAATAAATCAAGGAATCGCCAGGCAGTGGTAGCACATGCCTTTAATCCCAGCACTTGGTCACAGAGTGAGTTCCAGGACAGCCAAGGCTATAGAGAAATGCTGTCTCGAAAAACAATAAAGAAATAGATCTCCATTTATTCCTCCGACCATGGTGAAGACTTTGTTAGGAGCCGTCATCTAAAGACCCCCACAGCAGCCTGTCACTGTTTCCCAGGCCCCCATGTGGCCAACAGCTGAAGGCCAGAGTCATTCCTTTTCCAAGGCCTCCATGCAGTTACCCTCAAACAGGCTGCTCAGGAGGACTCTGCCTGACCGTGAGCAGGCCCAGGTAACCCCACAGTGACAGCTTGGGGAAGCTGAAATAAACAAGGCACACCTTAATCCTCAGAAGACAGAGACCAAAGGCTACCCCAGGATACCCCAGGACTTTGAGGTTAGCCTAGTGAATGTAGTGAGTTCCAGAGCTACGTAACTCAACCCTATCTCGGACAAACTGAAAGTGGGGCGTGGGGCCACACACCTTTAATTCCAGCAGCTGGGAGGTGAAGGCAGCTGAGAGTTCAAGGCAGCCTGGTCTACAGGGTTGCTGGCTGGTGGGTTCCTGGACACCCGGAGCTGTGTAGAGACCCCGTCAGAAAAACAACTCTGAACCCTGCAAACATGACTCGAGTGTTCCGACCATCCTGATGTTGTTCCTGGAGTAGACGGCGTCAGGGTCTAGCAGGTGTCCTAGCGGGTGCATACAGAAGATTTCTGAGTACCTCAGCGAGGGGGGTGGGGGGTCAGGGCCACATCCTCCAGAGCAGAGCCCTGAGGTAGGAACCAGTGTTGTCAGCCACGGTGGATGCCGGTCCTGACCTGGGGTGCTGGACCCAGGCCCCAGTCCTGCATGTGTGGAAGCTAAGAAACCGTGACAGAGGAGAAATAGTGTCTCTAGGCTTGATTCCAGTGCTGAGTGGGGTGAAGGTAAGTTCAGTGTGGGAGAGCGGGTGGGACCAGAGTGCTGCAAAATGCAACAGAGCAGTGAACTGGCTGGAAACCAGCACCTTCATGTAAATACGAGGCTGCTGCTTCTCCAATGACCGTTACACCGCTGACCTGTGCTGAACCATGAACTTCACTAGTCTGTGCCACACCTCCACAGGTGGCAGCGTGCTGGAGCAAGGCTTGTGGAACCCCAAGTCCTGTCAACAGAGCATCTTTCATGCAGTAAAACCCTGAGACACGAGTTCCAGCACACCCGTGACTGACTTACAGCCCTTTGACAGTAGTTTGTTCCACTTTTAAAAATGCTTTAACTGCATGGTGGCATTGATGTGTAACCCCAGCAAGTCATAAGGGTAAGAAAAAGGGTAACTTAAAGGGCAGCCTGGGCTACAAGTAAAGCCATGTTGTGGGGCAGACTCCATTCCCTTGTCCAGGAGATGCCTCTCTGCAGGATCCTGCGCACGTGACACATACATTCAGGTACACACAATTCATTAAATTCCCGGATAGAAAGTGCATGGAAATATTATTATGCAAGACCTCAACAAGTACTGTTAAAACTTCCGACAACCGAGCAACTGCAGTCAGCCTAGACCAGTGTCCACCTAAGGCATCCTCAATTAGCCTCCTGAGGGCAGCGCGGTCCACACTGAGG